GGTATTTCAATTAGCTACTATCTTTCAGAACTATACTAAACTTTCCTTATACATTTACAGGGTCGTTGTACAAAAGATAAACCATTGTTTTATGAAGGAGTAAGTGATTTGTTTTGTGACACAGAAGTATAATAATACTTTGTCAGTTCTTTTGAACTTTTCAAGTGAGTGGACTCAACAGTAGCTATATGATTTACTTGTTGAAATGCTCATCAATGTAGTTTTCTTTGGACCATCTAAATATGATGTTGATTTTTACTTAGCTACTTACATTACCTCTTTACTTTAACAGATGATTGTTGTACCAGATAATATCACCATGAAAAAAGTTCCAAATATTGAAGGAATGATTATTTATCGTAAAGACAAAAATAAACTTTATGTTCAAGAGGACAAGCAACTTAAGGCATTGGCTGAAGAAAAAAAGGTAAAAAATCTTGACGAGTTGTACGAATCAGAGCAAGGAAATTCAAAAATTCAACTAACCACAACGAGTACTTATACGTCACCACTTTGATAGATATTTTTTATCATGCATCAACATTTTCAAAACTAATATTTGTAGATTCTAGAAACACTGAACAAAGATATATCTAAGATTGAGAATGAAGTGAAAACTATCAATATTACTTTGGGCAGAAGAAAATTTTCTTCGTTGCTTTCTCGTACGTATTTTTTATCTAAAGTTTTCTGTTTGTTAATTAAAGAAAAAGTGATTAAATCAACAGAAAAAACTACCTGATGTCGTATGTATACAAGTATATTATTTTTTTCTTAAAATAAAAGAACTCAGCGTGCTATTTTTTTCAATTAATTGACACTGGTCCAACTTACTTTACGGAAACAAAATTTCAATAAATAATTCCTAAGTTAAAAATACATTTAGGTGATATATCGGCTTCAACGATACTCAAAAGAGAGCCAGCAAGGTTTTTGAAACAGTTAAAGAGTTGGTTTTCATTCAGTAAATTGACTTGTTGTTGGAGAACTTCCATTGATGGATGGGATTCGAGAATTTTCCACTCAAGATGTGACAATCGAGGAAAAACAATAACTTTAGTTAAAGTTGGGAAATACATCTTTAGTGGATATTCAACGATTAATTGGGGTATTAAGTTTTAAAATAATTCAGTGTGTGCTTACAATGGCCAATTGGTAAAAGTTCTGTGAGAATCTAAAAAAATATTGTTTATAGGTTCAAGTTGTTATCGAAGCAGTTCCAGTACTTACTTGTTCTCACTTCGTAACAAAGACAATTTGAGTCCATTTATATCAGCCGTCTATCGCAACAGCGGCTCGGCCATTTGTGCTTCCGCTACCTATGGACCAACGTTTGGAGGAGGACATGACCTCTACATTCGAAACAACGCTAATAAGTACAAAAATTCCTACACCAACTTTGGATATACTTATCGTCCTCCATCTGGTTACAACTATGGCAGTAGTAACACCCAAGCTCTTCTTGCAGGTTCATACTACTTTACACCTGATGAAGTTGAAGTTTATTATTATGCTTAACGTTTCACGTGAACTTCACCTGACTTTCAGCATTGTTGCCAATTCAGCAACGTATGATGTAATGTTTGAGTGGATTTGTTGTATTTTCATGTCATATATCATAACGTTTTCTTGAACTTTTGTTATATATCGTTCATAACTTTTCTCGTTTTTTGGTTTTCTCTCAATATATGTAATAGAAATAAAAGATTTTCATAAAGATATTACTTATTTTTATTTTTTAAGCCCCTTATCTGTGGGTGCGTTGAGATCGGGTGAGGAATCCGGGTAGTGCCGATGCTCCGATGCCAGTTTCTCCTCGTCAAATGTAATGCACAGACCTCCTCAAAAACATAAACCTTGCTACGCTCTTGCTTATTTGACTTTTTTCTGAAATGACTTCTCGTCTTCTTCAATCAAAATTTGAAACACTATCAGCTCACACAAGTATCGGTGAGAATTTGTTGTATATAAACTACTCAATGTAAAACGACTTTACTTGCTGTTATTTTTTGACTAACAAATAGTTGTAAAGTTACATCTCATAGTGGTACTCCGACAGCAACTGGTATGGTTGAACTAAGTTTTACTGATCACAACTTAAGGAATGCTCTTGAGCTCAGATTATTTTCATATCAAGCAAGAGGAATGGTCCAAATGGCATTGCTTTATTAATGATGATAAGCATGTAGTTGTAGCATAATTAACATGAGTTGCAACTCGAAATATTTTCCACAAAAATTATCATTATTTATATGCTGCATACAACACTAATACGGTAGTCATCAATATAAATGTACGAAAAAGATAAAACCTTTAGTTCAATCTTCTTAGTCACCTAAGCACAGCAAACGTTGAGCGTTCATTTTACTGATATGGGGGCGTTAAATAAATATCAAGTGTCGCGTGTCTAGAGTAAACAAAGAAACAATGATTTATTTCCAATGTTATAGACCTGTTCGTTCAAGCAGGCTTTCTATTGGGAAGCTTCGTTTTCACGAAATATTCGGCAAAGCAGCTTTACAGGTATGGCTTTGCGTCTTGTAACATGTAATAGAAATGTCTACACAAAATGAAATATGTATTAATACCAATATAGCAACCTTATCATAATTGTCTTATTGTGTTTTTGTGTGAAGTTTGTGGTTGTTTGACTGTATCCATGGATGTATAAGAAAAACAACAAATTCAAAGAAGTGCTTGGTAAACTTTGTGAGAACTTTGTAAAACTTTGCCAAACCAGTTTTAACGGCGATGTCGGTACAAATATGACAAGTGACATTACCTAGGATTATGACTTATTTGCATATGAAACGAAAGTAGCTTGTCATCTAAGGGAAAAGTGAGTGACAGATAGGAAAGAGGGGAAAATTACTCTTCAGATATATCTTGTGCCAAACACACCATAATATGAGTAAGTGTGCACGGTTAATGCTGAGTTAGAATTGACTTTTTCAAATCATAACTGGTCAAGGTACGTCTGATAGTGATATTTTTATACATACCAAAAAGTTGAAGACTTACGAGTTACGATTGCCAACGATTAGTTATAGAATCGTTGCAATGAGCGTTACAGAATCTCCATGTTGAAAAACGAGATGAAACAAAAAGGTTTCTGACATATTTTTAATGAATACTAAAAATGACACCTATTTTCTATTTTCGATAGTCAATGTACATTTAGACAAACTTGAGACTACATGACTAATTTTTGTTGTAAATGTTAAAACGCTAATAAGCTAAACTCTGTTAAAGATAAACTAGAAAATTTACCAAAAGGATGTGAATTCGACAGTGAAACTGCAAATAATTTGAGCTGTGCACTTTAATCACCTAGAATAAAGTATCTGTAATTTTGTATCTGTCATAAATTGACTTTGTGACAGCATGGTAAATTAATATGCTCAGTATTGCTTGTGTTTTTCTGTCGGTCAAAAAATATTATTTTAGGGAAATATTTGAATTAAAACGTGGTTTCTATTATATACAACTTCATCGGCAGGCTAAGACTGAAATATAAATTTGGAATGCTTTGAAATGATCTTTGAATTGTTGGATAAATTCCATAAAAACAACTTATTGTGTAAATTATGAGATAATGTGCTTAAATTTTTGCCATGTTTAATATAAACGTCTTGTACCCAGACATTTTCAAACACAGAGGAATTAACATAATCAATAAAATTTTGTCTTTAAACGTGCATTGAACATTTAAGTACATGTAAATGAAACACTTATTGTTGTGGAGGCTCTGATGTTGATGTACAAAGTACAGTGGCTGATCTAGGGTAAGTCAGAAACATTACTGAAAATATAATTCCAGTTTAAAATACTTTGGACTGAATCCTATTGGGAGAATTTTAGTGTTAAATATTTTTTGGCAATATTTAACCAACAGCGTTGTTAAAAACGGCTGACGAATTTAAAATGAGCTTCTGTAACTTATTTTGACCTACCCTAGAGGTCCCCTACTTTAAACAACAAAGCAGTTTTTATGAAGAACTGCTTCCCTTGATTAATTGCATGCTAAAGAGTTGTCGGGACGGTCGAATGCTGAAAAAATAAGTTATTATGCATATTTCTCTTCATGCATTTTGAAAAATGTCTGGTGCAAGACATTTATACTAAGCATGACAAAAATTAAAACATATTAACTACATCTTAATGCATGGAATATATATTGAACAAACATATGACTTTTACAATTAACCTGATATCTCTTACTATTTTTTATGAAATATCACATTGCCACAGAAAACTGAATACGACGTAAAAATTTTTTATTCGTCATGATTTGATGAGAGAAATGCTGAAGCCACTAAAAGATGTCATTTTTCTCATTAAATATTCAAGCATTTAGTTGAGTACATGTAAATGAGGAACTTGCTGTTGTAGTGCTCTGTTGTAAGTGTACAAACACTGTAGACAATGATGTATTTTTCACAAAGAACTGGTCTCCTCGATTAATTGCATGCTAAAAAGTTTTCTTTTTCCAGTTTGGCTTATGTCTTGATTGCTTGATCGAAACGATATCATTAAAAATATGTGCAAAAACTTTACATACCCATATATTGCAAAGACAAACTAAACATCATGGAAAGTTTAAAACTAGTACAAATTCACAATGCGATAATTCGCATACTTCACAAAATTAAAATAGTCGTATTTAAATTTACTTTTATTGACGTTACTGTTTATAGTTATTGTCTGCAGATTAATATTTGTGATGAATAAGTTCGCTGACATCAACTTCACAAATCACAATTATATTCAATTGCAAATAACTTGTATCCAGTTTATTTTAAGTTTTAACATCTTGGTTGCTCTATCTTTGTTTTAAATAATCGTATAATTACACTATACCTGCTTAATAATAATTATTTGTCTCAGCATACAAAAATCAATGTTTGTGGACATGAATGTCATAACATTTTGTTATGACGATTTCCGTTTCAGCTTGGAAGGTAACAAAAAGGAAGGTGCAATCCAGAGCACACAAAACTTCATAACGGCATTTCATAAAGAAGAAAAAATGAAGAGCCCGTATCTTCTTCTCGTAATTCTACTTGGAATCTCAGAAAAATCTCAGTCTTCGGTAACAATTAGGATTCTACAGTGACAATTTTTCACGTACATCTATTTGATTTTTTCCTAATGTAATGTATATTGAAATGAGAATGGGAAAATGACATATATTGTCTTCATTGAACTACAAAGTAAAGTTAAGTAGAAAAATCCAAAAATTTTTGTCGAAATTCTCTTTAGAAAATCAAGGTAATTAAAGGAAACAACCCAGGACCATGTTTAAAAAATAGCAGTGGAGAGATATCGTTGGTTCGTGATCGACAGAACGAACCTAAAATTTTGATATGTTCAAAAGTTAACGGCGTTTTTAGATGGAGAACATTGGACGGTAGTTATAGCTTTCCAAAGTTTGGGTCGCTACTTTAAGGTCAACACAATGATGCCTAAATTATACACTATTAATTATTAGGTTCTAGTTCTCCAGGAGAGTTTTTTAGCCCAGTATACGACTGCTCAACAATATTGGATAAAGATCCAAAAGCGAAAAACGGATTTTATTGGATAACACTTGGAGAAAAGAAGCCGAAAAAGGTAAACTAAAGTTCAGTGCGATGTTGACAGATCATGTAGCAACATAAAGTATTTTTTAAAGTCATTTTTCGAAGTAATAGTAATTTTTCAGAATCAAAATCTACTTGTCTAGTTTTTCTCGCTTATTTATAAATAAAGTTTCCAAATATTTTGTCGGCTGTGGTCATGAATATTTTTATATTTCAATGAGATTATTTTCATACAAAGGTTTATTGTGATATGATGACTGATGGTGGTGGGTTCATGTTGATTGGTCGGAAAAATTCATCCGTTACATGGACAGTACCATCTAACAGCAAGACAGTGGAACCATTTGGTAAACCTCATTGGATAAGTTCATTAGGAGAGGCTCCGATGGTTGATTTTAGAGTACAAATGGCCACTAAAGATGATTTTAAGGCAACAAAGGCTCATTGGTAAAATTTGCACCTCTAACTTGTATCAAAATGAATCGTTTCATCATCATTCTTAGTTTTTCATTATTAATAAAGTTTTTTTTTAATAAAATTTTATTTAATGAAGGTATTACAGATTTAAGAGTGCAAGAAAATTGAAAAATTTGATGTTATCCAAGACAGGGGGATGTGGGGGAACTTCAGCAGGAATTGGTGACGTTAAGTTAGTGAAAGATCTTATTACTGGAAATGTTGTAACAACAAGTTTTTGCTGCTCTAAATTTGGATTGGCTTACAATGAAAAAATGAAATTTGGATGGGTGGGTCTTTTTAAATGTTTATTAACATGTGGATGTCAATACTAGTCTTAATACTTTTGTCGATTTGCAGGCAAATATGAATTATTGCTTGACTAAACCCTGTCGTCGAGGATTTGCTTTTCATGACAAAGTTTCATTTCAAACTGACTATTCTGGATCATTTAGGTGAGAAATTGTAATTTTTCCTTTTGCAGTACTTTTGTTATTCACAAGAATACACATACACAACATTTATGAGCTTAGTAAATGATTATTATTGAAACGTGCAGATGAGCGCATGATATTATCATTTTTCAGAGAATGAAAATAAAAATGAGTAAGAAAAATTGTTAATTGAAGCTTATGTACTTGTCTTTATACTATTTTTGTGATACAAAAATTTTATCACGGTTATCACCTGCGGGATTAAACTTTAATTTTAACACGAACAAATGACACAATAACCTTCAGTGATTGAGGAGATGAATCTCTATTGAATCTTATTTTAGTAGAATGACACTGGGAAGACTGTGTAGCCTTTAATGTTATTAAATAGCCTTATATATCTTTATGAAGATAGTGATTTTGACGTAGAGGTTGTTATTTCTTAACATTATTTAATAATTAATATAGCTACAGTGCAAAAGATAACATTTCTGGTATAGATTTTGGAGCGACGGCATTGGTTGGCTGTGACAGCGGAAAGGTTGTTTAGTTTTGTTCATTTTTGTTTACTTATCTTGGCAGTTTTATGTTTTATTTTGCAGTTTGTTTATAAAAATACAGAAAATCGAGCATACGTTCTTTAAAGTGTCAAACAATAGGCATGAACTGCAATAGTTTGTAATTATTTCTATCTGCACTGTGTAAAATGTTCAAACTTTTTTTAGTAGTGGACCCAAGGTAAGTCACAAAACACTACAGTAGATAATTTGACGTCGAAATACCGTAATGTATAATTGCCTTTTGTTAGAAATAACTGAAAAATATTTTAGAAACAAAATTGAACAAACAGGATTATTTTTAAAAACTTTGAATTTTAAATATTGCTAGTGCGATTCATTCTGACTTCCCCTCATCCTCCACCAGCTTTTTACTCACTTTGTCGAAATATAAGGCCATAAAACGCTAAAAATAAGAATTAAGAGCTAATTTTCCTGTCACGCTTGACGTTTCTTAAGTTTTTTGGAAATTAAAACATTGTTCCAAAGCATGAATTTATAATTCGACAAAAAAGCTTGCCAAAACAATGAAAGATTCATGAAATATGCTTACCGTATAAATTTTTTTCTCAAAACTCTTCTATATTAAACTCCTTATAGCACAGATTAAAATTAACTAATCAAATGAAAAAAATTCACTGTTAAATATTTTTCCATTACCAAATAGTGAAAAATTTATTCTTTATTTATCTTTGATTGTTTATATTGATTATTACTGATTATGTAACTATAATATAAGACTTTATCTGAGATACATGCAATATATTTAATATCATACCACATCACGTTATGTGTGATGTTATGGTCCAAAAATGGCAAGAAGAACTATTGTTATAATAATTGTCAGGCAAAAAATGGTGGAAATATTACAAAAAATGTTTATACATGGTTTTGGGTTCGTTCACGTATTCCTAAGAAAATATGGAATAAGTGTATGGATTATAAAGTGATGGAAAATGGCGCTTTCGTGTGGTACAAAATCATTGGGGACAATGAACTTCCAACAAAAGTATGTTTTATACAGTTATTCAAATTGATGATGAATAATTTTAATTAACGTTTTGAAATTTGCTGCTACACAAAAATGCGATGATTCTGCGATATCAGTATTTCTTAAATTACCTCTAGCTCTTATGTAAAGTAAGTATGTTAAAATTGGAAAAGAAAATGTATAGCCCTTTTCTCAGTCTTATGTAGAAATTTTTAATTAGTCTCAGTGCTTTATAATTTTTTATGATATTGTAAAAGGATGTTTTTGCTCGAGCTGATCACTCATTGATCAATATTTTATTCATAATACATTATAACATTGAATAATTATATCAAGCTTAACAATTGTAGAATCATCCATAGCTACAAATATCAAATTTTACATTTTTAGGGTCGCTGTGAAAAGAGAAACCTTTACTTTATCAAGGAGTAAATGCGTAACTTCATCACTTCTTTTATACCTCTTATGAATTCCATTTGTGTTTTATAATGCATTTTCAAATTGATTTCTGATTTAAATAGATGATTGTTGTACCAGATAATGAAACTGCAAAGAAGATTCCAAAATTGAAGGGATGATTATTTATCGTGAAGATAAAGAGAAACTTTATGTCCAAGGAAATAAGCAGTTAAAACATTGGCTGACGAGAAAAGGTAAATGATTTTAATGCTATTTGAATACTTCGGCAATGTTATGCTTAGTAAAAGAAATGAAAGTAAAATTTTAAGAGTTTTGAAAATGTGATTCTGCATGAATGATACACTTTTTCATTCTTTTTCATAACTTTCCGTGATAATTTTTTATTGTTCAGGTTCTAAAGATGCTAGACAAAGATGTATCAAACCTTGAAAGTGAAGTAGACTATTTAAATAAAACTTTGGACAGCAAATTTCGTTTGGTGTTTTCCCTCGTTTCTCGTAAGTATTTCTTTCAATCATTGAAGCTCTATTGAATTGTTTCATTTTTTTTGGAAATGATTGTGTAGTATGATTTTAGCCATCAGATATTACACCCTAGGCTTTCTACAGCTTAAATGCCTACGATATCTAAGTCGTTCCTTTAAGCGATACATTTACTATCCACACGTTTATTAAGAGTGTTAATTTCTTACATGACCAGTGGCAGTGCCAAGGGGAGCATAGAGGAGCATTTCTCCCACTAATTTTTTTGCTTTCCCCCCGTTTGCTCAACCATATCTTTTCAACAATGTGTATAGTTAGTTTATAATTTTACACAGGGACGCCGGAACGTCAATATTGTGGGAGAGCAAATATTCATATGTGGGTGTTTTGCCTGATTACATTCTTTAGAAATCAATTGTATTTTAAAAGCTGTGACTATGAATGTATAAATATTTGTTTCCTCATTTATCCACGCTCTGGCATCTCTGGTTTTATATGAATTTTTCCATAGTGATGAAATTACATCAAAGAGCTCCTTCATGCGTTCCATTCACACTTGAATTACGCTTTCCAGCGGTTTCTGCATCTTTACTTTTGATCTCTGAGAGCAAAATGGGCAACAAAATTTGCAAATGGAAATGATATTTTCTGAACTTCTTAAAGTCGCTAGAATTTCCATTAGTCTTCCAATAATTACTGCTGGCTTCGAAAGGACTTTTAGGCAGTTCAAACTGATAAAGAACCATCTAAGAACGACAGTAGCAAATTGAAGACGTACACATTTTTCAATTATCAGCATTCATAGGAAACAAGCGATGAACATTGATTTATAATTAGTTGTTGACTAGTTTATTTACAAGTTTCCAAACAGCTTGTTTTTTTAAAGTGACACTTTAAACAGTTAGTAGAAAGTTTTACGATTAGGAGTATTTTCGCTTTGTCGTGGAATTGGTTGTGTTATATCGTCTAAATATCGCGTTATATCTTGTAAATTTGATGTTAACCATACTTTTATTGGATGTTTAACCATATTATTGTAGCTAACTTGAATCTACGAAATCGGACACAGTCTTGTCCCCTTCCCCTTCCAAGCATCTCTTTGATTCTCAATCACTCAATACGCAATTGAAGGGCAAAGTGATGTACATGACTCTTAAAATTACAATTTTCTGTCCACAATATTTCTGAAATATTTACAAACAATATTTCATAGGTGAAATTTCAACTTCAACAATTCTAAAAGGAGAACCAAAAAACTTTCTAAAGCAATTAAAGCAATGGTTTTCATTCAGTAAATTGAAATGCTGTTGGAGAGCCACTTCTGATGGATGGAATGCTAGAATTTTCCACTCAAAATGTGACTATCGAGGAAAAACTATAACTTTAGTTAAAGTAGGAAAATTCATCTTTGGTGGATATTCAACACATAATTGGGGTGGTAAGTTTTCAAGACTAAATCAGTATTTAGCTTTTTTTTGCAATGCAAATGATTTGTCTTTGTTTTAAAACTTTTTACTAACCATACATGGAGGTGGGAAATTGCATTGAAGTTAAATGTGTGGTTCTTGTGCTGAAATTTCATGAATCAGTTACATTCGATTGGAAGCAAAAATATCAAATGTTCAAATTGCAACGGAAATAGTTATGAAAATAGGTTTTATAACTACTATAGTTTTAAATTAATAAGTTAAGTAAATTTATTTATATTTATAGGTTCAAGTCGTTATCACAGCAGTTCCGGTAATTACATCTTCTCCTTTCGTAACAAAGACAATTTGAGTCCATTTAGATCAGCCATCTATCAAAACAGCTACCAGGCCATCTATACTAACCCTAGCTATGGACCAACTTTTGGAGGACATGACATATATATAGCAAACAACGCAAACAAAAACAAAAATTCCTACACGAATTTAGGAGACACCTATCGTCCTCCATCTGGTTACAGTTATGGCTATAGTAACACCCAAGCTCTTCTTGCAGGTTCATATTATTTTACACCTGATGAAGTTGAAGTTTATTATTATCTTTAACATTTCACGTTAACTTCACGTGATCTCCAGTATTATCGTCAATTTAGCCACGTATGCCATGTAATGTTTAAATAGAATTTGTATATCGGCTGCCAGTTGTAGTTGACAGTGGTTATTTCATATATCATAATGACATAATTATATTTTGTTACAATTTGTCATATTTTTAGATAATTTACTATTAAACATTTTATTTTTGTCTTTTGCTTTTTTGTCAGTTTGCATAAATAAATAATTTTCAACAGATGTTCTATTTGCAAAATACTTTTTAGACTTAAGTTAGGTAAAATCAAAAGGTAGGCAGTAAAACTAGATAGTAAATGCTTTATATCAAAGAATGTGAAGTCGATGAGCTCTGTCATAACCCCAATATCATAAGTAACACACATAAAGAAAATAAAGACGTTATCCCGGTAAAAATTATCTCCAAAAATCACACTTCTACCCAAAATAGGCCGTTCAAGAGAGTACTCTCTGTTGAACGAGTCTCTTTGTTGTAAACCTGCGTTGTGACATAGTTTGAGAATTGAATTGATTGAATTGCAAAACAGTTATAACTTCCAAACCATTCTCCCTTACTATTTGCAAATATCGTCTTTCTGTTTTTGTCAAGGGTCGGTTTATTTAAGGAACAGCGTTAATTTGTAGTTGTGGCTCATCTTTTAGAATAATATGCTCCTCAAACAACTTCAGAACAACCATCACACACGGCCATGGTATTTTTTGTTGTTTGGTATGGAGCTAATGCAAGTGCAGTTGTAATTGCTTCCTTCAGTTTCTCAAATGTCTGCTGCTGCTCGCTTGTCCATTAAAATTTTTCCTTTTAACGCAATAGCCGTCCGAGAATCGTGGTACTTATTTATTTTGACAAATATGCAACCATCTGTAGAAATGACCTCAGTTCTTCAGTTCAGCGCATGTTTTTGCGGCGTGAATGTTTTCAGAGGGAGAGGGAGGCTTTGTTCCCTCGCCAGTGAACGATTGACTGTGCAATTCGAGTTTTGGTTAGTTTTTTCTAACTGGCTTTGAGATTTTCTGGTGGCTCACCAAATTCTCATCACTCAATGTTTGTTAATTTGTCGATTGAAATTTTTTCTCCACCCCATTTCCCCACACTGATATATATATAAAGACTGGATAACGCAACCTAATTCTGGTGCCTAGAAAATTTTAAAGCCAATTTTTGACAACGGTGGCCATATTAGACAGTCCACTTCTAGTATATATTTTATAATGAATTTTTCTTGGAATATGCATTTTTGTTACTTTCTCATTCCAAAATCATGCCAAATCTTTTTTTATGATATTTTAAAAACGGGAGAAGATTTCTATATGAAATTTAGCAAATTTGAATTTTCGCTCAAAACCGTTCTTTTACAGTCTTGTCATTATAATAATTTTTCTTTGTCCCAAGAGTGAAACAAATGATCCAAAATAAATGCCAGAGTAGCAGTTTGTTATATAAAACGTATATAAAAACTGAAAAAGTGGACAGTCCAATATGGCTGCCTCCGGGTTCAATTCAAGCACTAAGCTGCGTTATCCAGTTTTATACATATCAGTGGTTTTCCTTCGGAATCCTTTCTTATGATTTCATCCGTTTGAGTTTTGTTGCTTTACAGTGCTGAGTGTTTGACTGAGTCTGAGGATTCTGAATCCAATACTTTCGACACTTCCGACCTTGAACGACTTACCTTGGCAAAATGATTACGTTTGCTTCACGACATACAAAAATATCTGCACGATATTTGAAATGATAACACACGGTTACTTTTTGTAGCGCGTGCATGTTATGGTTACTGTTTGTTACTGCGGATAATCGTTTGGTTGTTTTTTTTTATGATCAAATCGTTGAATGCGTCCGACTTTGTGCTCAATGACTTGCTTCGACTCAATTTCTTTTGCTTGTTATCGAATTTCCACATCGAGTGTCGAATTTTTTAGCATTTCCTGCCTATGCCTTGATTCTAACGCTATTATTTATCACTATTTTAGTTAAATGGTCTCGTGTGGCTTCGTTTTTCTTTTCGAAACTTAGAAAAGGGTGCTTTTTGTAGCCATTAGCCATTGGCACGGGGTAGTTGGGTGCTGCTATATCGAGTATTTTAGAAAACTTAGAAAACTTAGAAAAGGGTGCTTTTTGTAGCCATTAGCCATTGGCACGGGGTGGTTGGTTGCTATATCGAGTATGAGAGCTCCATGTTCGAAGCACTAGGCAAGTCCAAATCACAAACTTGAAAGTAACGCTTGACGTAAGTTTATTTGTTGGATATTTGTTGCAGCAAAATGTTCGCTAATAGCTTGGTGAATTTTCTTCAAGATACTCTAAGAACTCTATACTTCTACAATTTAAATTAACCTGTCTACGCGTGCCTGACATCATCAAACTATACACAAATAATATTTTTTATCTTTAGACTCTTCTGACCAACATTTTCTTGTTGCTATTTGAAAAATGTCCGCTTCTGATGCATCATACACTATTCACAATACAAACAAACGCTGTTTGACTTCCAGGTCAAGAGAGTAACTTAATGTCACTTTTGCCTTTTGATTTTTACAGTTTCTTTTCTCGTCTTAATTCTACGGTTGTTGACATTGAACGATCTACATTACTACTACTAGAGCTAGTAGAAGAGCCGTTGGACATTGGTACAAAATAAATAGATTGTCTAAATTCTGTACGCCCAGGTTGAGTCACGAAAATGACCCACAATTGTTTAGTAGCTAGTTTTATATTGAAAACATAAAAGTTAATAAGCTCATACAAAGTTTACAATCAATGATAAGCAATAGAAAGTTTAACTCAGTACTTATTCTTGAATAATTAATATGTAACCGGCCAGATCTTTTACCAATCGTTACATAAAGTTTGTCATTTTTTGTCTCTATGAATATCATTGTGAGCTAGTGTTTACACAACAGTGTATGACCAACACATTCCATGCATACAAACTTAAAAAAATTTATAGAAAGGTGCAAATTGCTTTAGACTTTAGTCGTTGTAGCTATATCACCTTCACGTGTTACACTTAAAAATAGTTTTATCATCCTTCTCTTTATAAATTCCTCGAAAAGGGGAGTACGAACGAGCACAACACACATGGGCGCACCGAGAAGTTTCCTGATGCTCTAACAGGCCAGTCCGCCTCTAAACAGTCTCGTAGACATTTTAGTTGAAATTAATTTAATTTTATAAAATTATAATTAACATCCACAAAATGGTGTTTTCAATGACAATTTACAAGGGTATGATGAAAAGTTTACAGATTTTTAATCTACAGTACCAAAACTAATTTAAATAAATGCTTGACCGTGATTGCATCGTCAAAATACAGTCTCACTTCTTTTCACTTCGTGGTTAAATCGTGGGCTTCGCACAAAACACGCAAGACGAAACAAACCACTCGTTTATAGCTCCTCGGCAGAGGCTTAGTCCAAGCAATTGCACGCAGCTTTCACGCGCAGCTAGGTTAGGCTTTGAGAAGAGGCTGGTCAAAATGAGAAAAGAGGCAAACAAAATCATTCAAAATCTTCGAGCTTGTTGTTTAAATAAATCTTCCATATGCAGCGTGATTTTTGTTCTATGTCCTGTAGATTGCAACCATGAATAAGGGTCATAAAAATTTTGTTAATATATGGCAGGAAACGCAAAGAAAAATTGTCACATAAACGTTGAAGTAAAGTTTGCTGCACGTACACGGGGCCATTTGTCACAAATCTTTTTTTAAATAGGTATTTGCGAATGTCATAGAAAATTTGTTCGTCTTTTAAGGAGCTAAATTCTTTGTATAAGAAGAGTACTTATTATGTACATTATTATATAACAATGTATGCGTTCAAGACATTTATATGCATGATGAGAAAATTTAATGCACAAGATGTTTCATATTTGATGTATAAGATCAGAAATATATGGCCACGAACTAATTAACACTTAACTTGATATGTTTTGAGTTTTTCCTTTTGAAACTAAACCTTATTCCAGTGTCGCAAAATGAATAAATCTTTACTAAAAGTGAACATTTTACTTGTGTTAACTTGACTCTTAATGTGTAAATTGCTGAAGCTACTGAAATTACTGATAAATGATTGGTTTCATGCATCAAAGATTCAATCGTTATGAAGTACACGCAAATGAAATGTTTATTTGTCAGTGTGAAAATTAGCTACAGTACGACAAATCCAATTTCTGCTATGGAGTTTGGAGCGACGGCATTGGTTGGATGTGATAACATGAAGGTTTTACTTTACTTTGTGCATTATTTTATTTTAATAAACAAGTATAAGCTGTGCAACTGAATTACAAAGTGTAGTATGTGGAGACGCAAAACAGCGTGTAATACTTTCAAAATAGTTTACACTGCACTATTTTACCTCAATGGCTCAAGCCCAGTTTTTACTTGCGACATAAGCATAAAGACAAACAAAGACAAAAGAAAATACAAATAAGGGCAATGAAGTGACACAAGTATCAGCTAAACATTAGCATAAGCACAGCAACTTGACATAAGCATGAGGTAGAACAAAAACAAATTGAAAAGAAAATCCTTTTTCTTTTATTTCCTCCAGTCTCTGGAGCGATAAAAGCTGGAGCACAAGCGATAAAACAAAGCTTTGTTTTATCGCTTGTGCTTATGTTACTAGTGAAAATCTTAAGCAGCGAAATGACCAAATCCTTCTCACGTTTGAACATTGCTCACTAATCTATAAATTAAAACAAATGCTAATTTGATAATCTTTCTTTTGTCATCTTTTCTACAACAATTGTATGTTTATAACTCGAGCAATGCTTATGAACATTATAAGCAAAGCTTAATTTCCTTTCTTATTAAATATTCTGAATACAATTAAAATGCACTTCTTACGTTTAATTTAAAATAAACAACATACAGGTTATCACTTCTTATTGAAAAATTTTCCTTTTATGTAGTGCTGTGGGTGTTATGGTCCTAAGAATGGAAAAAACAGTTATTGTTTTCAATAATGTTAGGCAAAGAATGGTGGAACAACTAAGAAAAATGTTTATACATGGTTTTGAGTGCGTTCTCGTATTCCTAGAAGAATGTGGAGGAATTGTATGGATTACAAAGTCATAGAAAATGGAAATGCTGTGTGATACAAGTTACTGGGTAGTAATGAAGTACCTGTGAAAGTATGTTGTTTGTGTAACAGTTGTCATGGAATTAATGATTTATTTACGATGCCATTTGAGAGAAAAAGACTATGTAAAAATTGTGCAAGAACTTATAATAAATTGGTTTTCAATTAGCTAACATCTTCAGAACTAATAAATTATCTTTACATTTACAGGGTCGCTGTACAAAAGATAAACCATTGTTTTATGATGGAGTAAGTGATTTGTTGTGTGAAATAGAAGTAAAATAATACGTTGTCAGTTCTTTTGAACTTTTCAAATGAGCAGATACGTAACACAATAGTAGCTATAATTTGCTTGTTGAAATGCTCATCAATGTTGTTTTCATTGGACCATATAAATATGTTAATTTTCACTTACATAACTTTTTACTTAAACAGATGATTGTTGTACCAGATAATAACACCATGAAAAAAGTTCCAAATATTGAAGGAATGATTATTTATCGTAAAGACAAAAATAAACTTTATGTCCAAGAAGATAAAAAACTAAAGGCATTGGCTGAAGAAAAAAGGTAAAATATTTTCAACTGCTTCAGAATGTGGTTAGGGACAGTGCAAAAAATTTATTGAACTATGGCAAGTATGTCAGTATGTTATCCTGCACATTTTGCAAATTTTGTTTAATTAAAACTATTTACTTTGTAGATTTTTCAGACGCTGAACAAATATATTTCTAAGCTCGAGAATGTAATCAAAACCATCAATGTTACTTTAGTTACCTCATTCCTTCCTTGTATGTATTCATTATCATGTAAAATTTTTAGCATTGATGACTTTGAATTTTGATTTAAAGAAAGGGTATTATTTAACTTAAAATCACAGAAAGACTTGAAATTGTGGAATTACAAGTTTAAAAATGAGACAATAGCAATTTGCGCTGAAAAGCATAGATTGACAATAAATTAAGTCACTTTCTTATGTCACAAACAAACATAAACTAAATAATCAACATTTAGATGATATCTTACCCTCAAAGATACTCAGGGTGAAAAATTCGAAAAATTATGGAAATGTGAGACTGAGATGTGAGAACAATCATGTAATCGGTTATTGTGCTGTGCCTCCGTAAACATTTACAACGAACGAGGAGCGGGAATCTCAAAAATGCTGTGTAATTAATCTCTAAATTAAATTTAAAATATTTCGACTTGCTAATTTATAGGACGACTTTGCAAACAATAAAGAATTCATTACAGTTCATGTTTATAAATCATCTAGACGAAGAATTTATCATCAGGGTAAATTATTCATTTTGTGTCTCAAAAACGCTGTGTATTTAATCTCTAAATTTAATTTGCTGTTTTTATTGTTTTTACAGGTTCAAGTGGTTATCGAACTGCTTCTAGTAATTACATCTTTTCACTTCGTAACAAAGACAATTTAAGTCCATTTAGATCACCAATCTATCGTTACGGCGTCCAGGCCATCTATACTTACCCTAGCTATGGTCGCACTTTTGGAGCGCATGATATTCACATCACAAACAAAGCAAACAAAAACAAATATTCCTTCAACAATTTAGTAGACCTATCGTCCTCCATCTGGTTACAGTTATGGCTATAGTAGCACCAAAGCTCTTCTTGTAGGTTCATACAGATTTATACCTGATGAAGTTGAAGTTTATTATTACGTTTAACATTCACGTGAACTTCACGTGACTTCCTGTATTGTTGTGCATTCAGCCATGACTTGAAAAGTTCCAGTAGATTTTGCAGAAAGTTGTCGGACGGATATACTTGAATGTTTTTAATAAATTAGTTCAACAAAAAGTTTCTTCGGAGTTTTTTGCCACATGTTTTTAAAGATAATTCCAAGATTCGATCAGAGTTAAAAAGAAGGGCAAGAGAATTTGTCCATTCTTGTTGTGCTGCGCATTTGTAAACACTCATACAAACAAACTGCAAAAGAAATTTCAAATGCGCCGCTTAAATATAAAAAGTAACACTCTAATTAACATAAATTTATATTCGTCATTTCATTGATATTATAGGTTCAGAGGTAGTTGGCGAATGAGTTCCTGTAATTATATCTTCTCAAAACAAACACAATTTGAGTCCATTTATATCACCTGTATATCGTTACAGCCAATATGCCATCTATACTAAAAGTAGCCGGTAGCCCTAACTGTGGACCAACGTTTGGAAAAAAACATGACTTAAACATTGCAAGCAACGGTAACAAAAAGAAATATTCCTACAGCAATTTTGGAGAAACATATAGCCTTGGCCCTTGGCATATTTGACTCCTGCCTGAGAACTAGGGATATTTCATAGAAATGTTCTGTAATGTAAGAAAACTAGATCTTGCAAAGATAAAAATACTGTGGAAAGATCTTAAATGTCTACCTAGATACAGCATAAAAAATAAACTGTAGAACGACTTTACTGCGCATCTTACAATTATTAACTATACACAATATACGGCACTCAGATTAATTTCTTCAAAAGTTAAATTCATAAGTAAATTTAATCATTCGTTGGAATTCTTGAATCTTCACATAATGGAGCTTCTTCCATAGATGAGAATCAAATTTAGAGAACACTGCACAGGGAAAATGAGAATATTTAATCTAAGATATACAGAACTCTTTCATTGTACGGATAACTATACTACATGAAATTGACGAAAGCAATTTATACAACGTTAGAAAAGAACACGTCCATTTGCAAAGTTACTAATGATGGTAATACAAGAATCGCACAAGTAGCTTACATTAGTGTACAGAAAAATCAAATTACACAATGTGATGACCTTGATACAATAATTAATTAAAAAACATTTTTATCATTTGAGACAGTCAATCGCGATATCTGAAAATGGGTCATCACCTTTGTGTTATTTTCCCATTCAGCTATATTAGGAAACGAAAATATGACTTTGATACAATAATTAATTAAAAAACATTTTTATCATTTGAGACGGTCAATCGCGATATCTGAAAGTGGGTCATCACCTTTGCGTTATCTTCCGATTCAGCTTTATTAGGTAACAAAAATAGAAGATACACTCTCAGAGCAAGCAGAAAGCTCTTGACGGCATTTTGAGAAGAAGAAAAATGAAAAGCTTGTATTTTCTTGTCACATTTCTACTTGAGACCTTGAGCAAGCCTCAGTACATGGTAATGTTGTTGTTTGAATTTCCTTTTATTGCAATGATACTGGTTAAATTTCATTTTGTCAACATTGCACCACAAAATACGGAACCCTAATTTAGCAAATATCTGTAATGCTTTTGAAATTCTTCATAGAAAATCAAGATAGTTAAAGGAAACGACCCAGGACCATGTTTGGATAATAGCAGTGGAGAGATGACGTTGGTTCGCGATAGACAGAACAAACCTAAACTCTTGATATGTTCAAACGTTAGCGGTATATTTGGATGGAGAACTTTTGATGGTAAATAAAATAGCAAAGTCTGGGTCAGTATATTTTGCACAACAAACATGCGTGAACTTTTTTACTATTTTTTGTTAGGTTCTGGTTCTCCGGGAGAATTTTTTGACCCTGTATACGACTGCGCAACAATATTGAATAAAGATCCAAAAGCTAAAGATGGATTTTATTGGATAACACTTGGAGAAAAGAAACCAAAAATGGTAAATATAAGATCAATGTTGTATTCACAGACTATGTGGCAACATTAGCACGTCCATTTACAAATATATTTTAAAATTTAAATTCTGTTATATTGTGTGTAGAGAAGACGAATTTGATGAACAAATTTTTAAAATTCCAATGAGATTATTTTCATTAAAGATTTATTGTGACATGACAACTGATGGGGGTGGGTTCATGTTGATTGGTCGGCAAAATACATCCGTTACATGGACAGTGCCATCGAACAGCAAGACCGTGGAGCCATTTGGTGAACCTCATTGGATAAGTTCATTAGGAGAGGCTCCAATGGTTGATTTTAGAGTACAAATGGCCACTCGAGATGATTTTAAAGCATCAAAAGCTCATTGGTATAAAAATGATGATGAATGCACTTTCATAAAGTTAACTTTCCAAAGGGAATCAAATTTCAGTCAGTGTCGTTCATTTCAGGTTTTACAGATTTCGAAATCCACGAAAATTAAAAAATTTGATGATTTACAACAAAGGAGGCTGTACAAAAACATCACCTGGGATTGGTGACGTTTCCTTTGTGAAAGATCTAATGACTGATAACGTTGTGACAACAAGTTTTCGTTGCTCAAAATTTGGAGTTGCACACAATGAAAGAACACGGTTTGGATGGGTATATAGAGAAGTTTCAATTATTGGGTTAATATGAACGATTTGCGTTACGAAAGATGACGAGACTGTGTTTTCTGTATTCATAGGCAAAAATGAACGATTGTTTAAGCAGACCTTGTCCCTGGGGATTTGCTTTTCTCGATAAGTTTCTCTATCAAACTGACTATTCTGGAGCATTCAGGTAACATAAGTGAAATTATAAATAAAATTTGTTTCCTGTATTTGTTCAACATACACAATACATAATACAGATTTGACAACATATTTATGTTAGCACTTTAAAATAAAGGAAAAATAATTAGAAATAGAGACGATTTATATTGAAATGAAGATGGTGTAGAACTTTCTTCTTTAGCATTGAACAAATTAACTTTCATATTATTTAAAATTCAGTTACAGTACGATAAATCAAATTTCTGGTATAAATTTTGGAGCAACGGCATTGGTTGGCTGTGACAACGGAAAGGTTATTATTTCACTATATGAATTATTTTGTTTTGTGAAAAATATATACATATATAGGATGTTTAGCTGAATCATAACGTAGATCGTTCTTGTCTGGTGATGTCTTTGATTCAGTAACATATCCTAATTTTTAAAAAAAATCAAAGACGTTATTGTAGAAACTAAACACGGCGAAAGCGAGCCAATAAGATTTTTAAATACTATATATGAATGATTAGCATATCCAACTTGAAATATTGGCCTCAATGTCATATTGTGAACGATGGATGATATGACAATCTTTTATCTTTGTTGATCACAGGATCCTTCTTTACTACTTTACATTTTCAAAAGCACTGTCTAATATTCTTTTTTTCTTATCATTCTGAACACAACTCGGCATTTCGGCCGTGTTTAGCAATATATAATTATAGACAATTTATTACTGAAAAATTATCCTTTTATACAGTGCTGTGGGTGTTATGGTCCTAGGAATGGGAAAAACAATTATTGTTTTAAAGAATGTGAGGCAAAGAATGGAGGAACAATAAAGAAAAACGTTTATACATGGTTTTGGGTGCGTTCTCGCATTCCTAGAAGAATCTGGAGCAATTGTTTGGATTACAAAATTATCGAAAATGGAAATGCTGTTTGGTACAAGTTACTGGGTAGTAATGAAGTACCTGTGAAAGTATGTAGTGCACGTGTATTAATTATTGGCATAGCATTAATGATAAGTGTACAAACAGTCTCAATCAATAACTAATCAAATTGTTTTTTCTAGAAACCCTAGAAACCATTCTTAAAATTATGCTAGAGAAATCTTCAGAAGGCGTTTATTAATCAATTTTTCAACCAAACATTTTTCAGAGGTGCTAAAGTATTGTTTATTTTTAAGGGTCGTTGTGCAAAAGATAAACCGTTGTTTTATGAAGGAGTAAGTGATTCTTTGACATACAGAAGCTAATCATTATTAGCAAATTTGCAAATATTTCATCATCAAGAAGTCACTTTTATATTTGCGTATATAATATTATCAATATACGTTTAAGTAAACATATTGCATATGAGTATTTTGTGTGTTGAAATACTTGTTAATCTTGTTAATCTTCACTTGCTTACATTTAGTCTTTACTTTAACAGATGATTGTTGTACCAGATAATATCACCATGAAAAAAGTTCCAAATATTGAAGGAATGTTGGTTTATCGTAAAGACAAAAATAAACTTTATGTTCAAGAAGATAAACAACTAAAGGCATTGGCTGAAGAAAAAAAGGTAAAAAATCTTGAATACATGTATGAATTAGATGATAGCTAAAGCAAATTAAGACAATCAACTACTACGTATATTTTCAATTTGAAACTGTTCATTGTGTAGGTTCTACAGACGCTCAAAGATGTATCTAAGCTTGAAAATGAAATCAAAAATATCAATGTTACTTTGATTAGAAGATTTGATTCTTTGCTTTCACGTACGTAAATATGATTTAAAATTTTTAAATTACGGAAATTTTTTTATTGAAGGAAGGGTAAGTTAGCTACTTAAAACGTAAAAAAGTTCTCAACGTAAAACTCGTTTGAACATAAAATGAAAACAATTAATTAATAAGCAGAAACATTCTATTTCTGTTAAAATCAACTCGCTACATCTAAGCAAGCGCTTAACATCTACATTGGGAGAAAATGGAATATATTAGTCTCAAAGCTTTATTTTTATAAGTTCGTTTTTCCACAGTAAAACCATTATAGAATCAAATATCAATGACCATACTACCCTTTAAGTGGTTATATTTTGTAGCTTCTTCTAAGGTTTGAAAAGTATTGATCACTTTATTGTTCTTCAAGACAAAGATTTTCAATTTCGTTTTTGTCGCTTTCGTTTTACTGCTTTTTTAATGGACTACTATTTTTTCTGAAAAGTCATTTCATACTACTTGTGAATAATAATTCTAGGATTCGCCATATATTCAATTAATTAAAAATTTGATGTCAAAAACAAACTATACTGGATGATTTTTTTTTCAATCAAGTTTCATTTTGTTTCGTGATTGTTGCCATGCAACCGTGGACAATAAAGATTAACACTCCATCATTCACTCCATAGAATGGCACCGCAAATTACGTCTATATACATAGAGAATGACCTGTAGTTCTAAATAAGGATACCATACACCAAAAATTAGGTTCACATTATCGGCCAAGTTTGCCAAAGTATCGACTCCTTTACAATAAATTTACCATATTTCAATATAGCAAATCATTCGGAAAAAATCATTCGTAGCTTTTGTTAGAATTTATTCGTTACATTCAAAATGTTTTGAAAAAGTAATTAATTATCGTAAAAGTTACTCAAAATGTAAAAAATTATTATTTACGCACTATTTTTATAACAAGCATTTACAACACTGTAATAGTTTATCGTGGTGAAATTGTTCTTAACTGATAATTCAATCATTTATGTCTAAGTAAAGGACAAGTGAAGTGTATGTATGAATGTAATATATCAAAGTCAATTATGCGAGTGTGTGATGCGATTTATGTCAATATGGCGTATGGTAAGCAGATCGATGCTTCTAAAATTGTTGTTGACGAAGGACTTTTAGCTATGATTTCTTTAGTGCTTGGGAATCGTGGCCGTTATACGGCAGCGAAATCCTACATTCCTGCAAATATATTTCAAATGGACAAAAAATGTAGCCATAAGGCGCCATACTATTATTTACTTTATCATAAACAAATGTTTGGGGTTTTCAGTTTATGATCATTGATCATTCAATCATTGGACAGTTATACTACATATTGTTTAAGATTTGAGAAAACTAACATTGATTACATGAGAAGCTGTTTACTATAACCTGTGATTTTGAGTCTTCTGATCCATGAAGCTTTTTATTTTGACAATTTGACTGGAATGGTGGCCTGAGATTTGCCAGGCGGAAAGCGAATTTTCAATATGAACATAATAGCCCAAAATACTTTTAAAAATTACAATAATAAAATAGAGAAGGATTATTAATGCTCGTCTTTAACTTAAGATTCAGATGAGTTAATATATGACGAGGTTTTAAATACAAGCATAGGAAATATGTGAAGAGTAGAAATTTAGAGACGGAATTAAGTGAGAATGGCGGTACATAAGTTGAAGGTGAATGAGTTACCGTTGGAGGGTTTGCTTGATATAGAAGGCTTTCATGAATCATAAGGAGATTTGGAACGGAGGAAGTTGATGAATTGAGAAACATTAAAATGGCAGCGAGATGAGCATGATGGCAGGTTTCCCTGGGGAGAGATTCCCGTGTTCTGATATTGGTGTAATGACGCGTTTGACCACATGAAGCAGCACGACATTGAATGAGTATAACACCGAGAACCCTGGTTATGAAAGGAAAGAAAGAGACGCTCGAGACAAAGCCGTTGAAAGGCAAGAGTTGCAGAGTCGAGTGATCGCGTACGTTAGTAGAACAAATCATGTTCACCGCTTCCTCTGAATAATTTGAACCCAAAGATCTTATTCACACTGCTCCTAAGAAAATCATGTACTTCTGTCTCCCTTTCACTGGCCTACACTGTCTTCAGATTCGCACTCAAATCACTGACTCTGCAATGCTGCCTTTCCTCATATCAACGTTCGCTTTGTCTTCGTTCTTCCAGGCGTCCTCTTCTTTCCTTTTAGGATAGGTTCCCAAGCTCCTGAGATCTGGTGTTGTATACTCATTCAAGTGTCGATGCTGCTCTGCATCGTATGTGGGTCAAACCACGCGTCATTTACACACCAGAATATCAGAACACTTGGGAATCTCTCCCTTAACAGGGAAGCCTTCCTTATGTCCACCACCATCTGCAGTTCTTTCTCATATAAGAAATACATCTCACCCTGCCGATTTTAATGATTTCTCAATTCTCTTCCTCCTCCGACAAATATGACCTTATGATTCATGAAAGCCTTCTTATATCCAAACTTAAACCTCTCTTAACACCCAAGGCAACTCAACTTCCTTTCACCTTCTTTAATATACCGCCATTCTCACTTAATTCCGTCATCTAAATTTCCTACTCCTCTCACATGTAATTTAACACCCCATATTATATGCTTGTATTTAAAACCTCGTGTATATATATTAACTCATTAATCTGAAGATGTCTTAAGTTAAAGACGAAACGTAATTAATAAATCCTTCTCTATTTTATTATTGTAATGGCTTTTTTAAAAGTATTTTGTTGGGCTATTATGTTCATATTGAAAATTGACTGGAATGGTATTAAACCTTAGTATTTCACATACATGGAATGTTGTCACATATTGTCCCCTTTTCTAACTGAACACCTCATGTAGAGATGTAAAGGTCTGTCAATCTACGGCTCATACCAGATTGTTTGCCATAAATTCCAAAGGGCTATTGATGTATGAAAAGCATTTTCTATAAAGTAAAAATGCCTTTCTATGTATGCAGGTAAACCTTGAAATTTGGCAAAACAGCAAAGTATTTTTCATGATCACTAGGTAAATTTTGTGATGATCATTATAGTTTCTAAACTAAATTATTTCTGATTTACATTTAAACAAGCTTTGATCATATGAAAAGATATTTATCATAACCAGTAAGCATGACACATGAACCAATTTTAACATTCATGTAATTATATAATTAAAGACATGTTGGTTACATTCTGTTTGTATTTGCAAATACAATGCTACTAGTGATTGCTATATAGCACACCTTGCATATACTTACAGAAGATAATAGTCTAGTGAAATGCCTAATAAACATTTATGGCATTAAGCTGTCCTTAACTGCAAATTTTCACTCTGATAATTTTTGCTTAACCTTTGGCAGAAAAATTTTTTAGTTTTTTCTCAAAAGGTGAATTTGCTGGCACTGATGTGGAGATGGGTAAAGGGTTACAATAAACTTGCATGGTTTGAAGTCTGAGCCTTTCTATATCTATGAACTGTCACTTGTAATACCAAATTTCTAACTTAACTAAATTCATTACATAGAGGTTTGAATGGGGGTCTCTAGGGGGGTCTATGCCTGACAACTTGGTAGAAATTTTTAAAGACTATATCTGTTTTTGAATAGCATTATTGTAAAATAAATTTTACGTTCCTACACATGCTAATGAGCCATATATTTGGCATGATAATGAGCCTAAATATTTGGCAAAACATTCAAGTATTGTTCACTTCATTTTTTTGAAAAACGTAAGCAAAATGTTTTGTTTTTACGCAAAAACGATGCCCACAAATACATTTTGTATTGCTCTAAAACGCTGAAAATGGCATTTTCAAGGCTCTGAAATTCAAAATTTCTCAGGGGAGAATGCCTCAGACCACCCCCCAGGTGCGGAGCGCCTTCGACGTTTTATGACTGATGTTTGAAAAATCCTAGATCCGCCCCTGTATGGGAGTGAGGGTAAAGCATAAATTTGCTGACTGATAAAGAGAGTAAAATATTTTCACCAAGACAGACTGTTTCAAAAGTTTAGCTAATGATGAATGCTATTGATGAATGACATTTTATAGCTGCTTGTTGATGAAACAAATTTACAAGAAAGATGAAAAATTCAACAAAAAATATGACAAAGTTCAAGAAAAAATAGTTATGATGTATGAAATAACCACGTTCAGCTAAAACTGGCAGCTCTCTACAATCTACGAAATATACTCAAACAATACGTCATTCATTGCTGAATTGACAATTACACTGTAGATCACGTGAAGTTCACGTGAAATGTTAAGCGTAATAATAAACTTCAACTTCATCAGGTGTAAAGGTGTATGAACCTGCAAGAAGAGCTCGGGTGTTACTACTCGTATAGCTGTAACCAGATGGAGGACGATAGGTGTGTCCAAAATTGGTGTAGGAATTTGTGTTTTTGTTTGCATTGCTTGCGATGTGTATGTCATGTCCACCTCCAAACGTTGGTCCATAGTCAGGGTCAGTATAAATTGCGTTGTTGCTGTTTTGATAGACATCAGATCTAAATGGGCTTAAATTGTCTTTGTTACGAAGTGAGAAAATGTAATTACTGGAACTTGTTCGATAACTTCCACTCGAACCTATAAATATAAACAAGCATAGAAAATTAAGATCATTCGATATCTTCTCTTAAAGCTCATCAGCAAAACCTATATATATATAAATAACATTGCAAATTAAATTTATGTTAAAATAAAGTAAATAGTTTGAACCCAGGAGTATCGTTACTTGTTTGTGGATGTAGATCATCCAGAGTTATGTTAAAATAGTTGTTCACTTTTATATTTACAGGATCTTTTGAGATTTATTCTCCTCATGTAAGTAGCTATTCCAAAAATTATTAACATGAATCTTATTTTTTTAGAAAAAGTCGAAATGTTCTAAATTTTTACAACGTACCACCCCATTGGTTTGTTGAATATCCACCAAAGATGTATCGTCCAACTTTAACTAAAGTTATTGTTTTTCCTCGATAGTCACATTTTGAGTGGAAAATTCTAGAATTCCATCCATCAAAGGAAGCTCTCCAACAATAGCTCAATTTAGTAAATGAAAACCATTGTTTTAACTGTTGCAGGAAGCTTTCTGGTTCGCCTTTAAGTATCAATGAAGTCGAGATGTCACCTAAAACATTGTTTACAAATACTATAGTGAATTTGTTTGTTACATTATGGCCGTATACCCAGAATATGCTTTGGCAACGGGAAATGTGTAAATGATGCATGGAGCAGGGGCGGATATAGAGTATGTCAAATCCGTCGCGCGACTGATGTTTGAAATTCAAAAATTACCTATTCATATTAATTAAAAATTCATTAATTATTCTTATTTTCTTATCGCACTTACTTCGTGATAAAAATCCCGCATTATTTATTATTGAAAACTAATGACTAATCCAATGAATATCTCGTTGGTAACCAGATCAGTTGAATTTGAATTGACCTGGAATAACCGACTGATAAGCGGGGTGGCTTGACTGGTTAAAGGAGTCTATGAACGAATCTGAAGGAGTCTATGAACGAATCTGAAGACAGTGTAGGCCAGTGAAAGGGAGACAGAAGTACATGATTTTCTTAGGAGCAGTGTGAATAAGATCTTTGGGTTCAAATGTATTGTTGAGGAAGCGGTGAACATGATTGTCAAATACTGGCCTACACTGTCTTCAGATTCGCACTCAAATCACTCGACTCTGCAATGCTGCCTTTCCTCATATCAACGTTCGCTTTGTCTTTCGTTCTTCCAGGCGTCTCTCCTCTTTCTTTCCTTTTAAGGATAGGGTTCCCAAGCTCCTGAGATCTGGTGTTGTATACTAATTCAAGTGTCGATGCTGCTCTGCATCGTATGTGGGTCAAACCACGCGTCATTTACACACCAGAATATCAGAACACTTGGGAATCTCTCCCTTAACAGGGAAGCCTTCCTTATGTCCACCACCATCTGCAGTTCTTTCTCATATAAGAAATACATCTCACCCTGCCGATTTTAATGATTTCTCAATTCTCTCTTCCTCCTCCGACAAATATGACCTTATGATTCATGAAAGCCTTCTTATATCCAAACTTAAACCCTCTCTAACACCCAAGGCAACTCAATCCCCTTCACCTTCTTTAATATACCGCCATTCTCACTTAATTCCGTCATCTAAATTTCCTACTCTCTCACATGTAATTTAACACCCCATATTATATGCTTGTATTTAAAACCTCGTGTATATATATTAACTCATTAATCTGAAGATGTCTTAAGTTAAAGACGAAACGTAATTAATAAATCCTTCTCTATTTTATTATTGTAATGGCTTTTTTAAAAGTATTTTGTTGGGCTATTATGTTCATATTGAAAATTCGCTTTCCGCCTGGCAAATCTCAGGCCACCATTCCAGTCAAATTGTCAAAATAAAAAGCTTCATGGATCAGAAGACTCAAAATCACAGGTTATAGTAAACAGCTTCTCATGTAATCAATGTTAGTTTTCTCAAATCTTAAACAATATGTAGTATAACTGTCCAATGATTGAATGATCAATGATCATAAACTGAAAAACCCCAAACATTTGTTTATGATAAAGTAAATAATAGTATGGCGCCTTATGGCTACAGATTTTTTGTCCATTGAAATATATTTGCAGGAATGTAGGATTTCGCTGCCGTATAACGGCCACGATTCCCAAGCACTAAAGAAATCATAGCTAAAAGTCCTTCGTCAACAACAATTTTAGAAGCATCGATCTGCTTACCATACGCCATATTGACATAAATCGCATCACACACTCGCATAATTGACTTTGATATATTACATTCATACATACACTTCACTTGTCCTTTACTTACGATTTTGGATGTAAATTTCTGCTGATAAAACTCAAAACAATGTTGGCTTTCTTTTGAACATCAATGACTGAAATGTCGCTCGCGAGATCGTCGTTGCCAAGCATTTAAAATTTATCCATAAAATTCCACTCTCAAAAATTCACATTTTGGACAGCAGCATTCATGTCAATATATGAATTTGTAAAAGATTTCCATAAATTCCATCTGATTGTAGTTTAGTTTCTATCATGCTTATAAAAATTACTATAAAACGATCAAACATTCAATTCAGACAGTGAGCTTGACTATGTTAGTTCAGTTGGCTATCAGTCGAAATCCGTCAAACCAATCACAATAAAGCAAAAATTCAAATGAACCAATTGTAAGATAGCAATTGACTCCCTTATACGTCCGGCCACCCTTATTATCAGTCGAGACCATTCCAGACTGTCCACTGATCTGGCTATTGACCAATAAAATAAGCGTTTTTGACGTTCATAGACTCCTTTATCCGTCGAACCAGTCAAGCCACCCCGCTTATCAGTCGGTTATTCCAGGTCAATTCAAATTCAACTGATCTGGTTACCAACGAGATATTCATTGGATTAGTCATTAGTTTTCAATAATAAATAATGCGGGATTTTTATCACGAAGTAAGTGCGATAAGAAAATAAGAGTAATTAATGAATTTTTAATTAATATGAATAGGTAATTTTTGAATTTCAAACATCAGTCGCGCGACGGATTTGACATACTCTATATCCGCCCCTGCTCCCATAACTGCCATAGTTTACCTCTACCTACTGTTGACCAATTGATTCTCTAGAATCGTGGGAGTGAGGACAAAAAAGTAAAACATTGCGATGGGCTGGCTTCGCCACTGAATGACGACATATGTAGTATATAATTTATAATATTTATAAATAGATATAATTTGCATATTTACTTTGATCTGCTATTTGATTGGAAAACATTTTCAGAAAGTAACTATTGGTGTGTTGCTTGTTTCCTCACGGTCGCCATTTTGGTTGAACTCAACGAAAGATTTTCCTCTTTTACAATTCAAATTTCAACCAACATGGCGAATATGTCTTTGTCTTTTAACACCATGGGGTATTGTTAAAAACGATAACCATCTATGTGAATGTTTATTCCAATTGGCCTAATGAGACAATATCAATGAGCAACAGCTTTCGCTCTTTAGATTTATCATTTCTGTAGTCTATTGTACTTCATGATTGTACTTCTATGAACCAATTCTACTCTTCATTGAACCAATCACATAAGGGGTTTACATGTTACGTCATGGCCTTTATTTTGGTCGTCAATTTTATCAATGCTTTTTCAGTGAACAGTCGTCAATGAAAGAGCCACATTAGGTTTATTAAATCTGTGGAGGTTGGTTGCAATCCAAGAGTACTCTGTTCATGAAGGTGGATAGCAATCAAATATTTTTGAACAGCTTGCTTGCTTCTATCTGATTGATATTTGTCGAGTGAAGATTTTCTGCAGCACAAGGCAAAATTTCGATGTGTTGATTAAATGCCTCGGGAAGTTCAGGGTAGTGACGTTCAGGAAATTATTCCGTGGCTTTAGATTTGGTTGAAGAGAAGAAAAGTTCTGTTTCAAGCCCAAAAGAAGGTGGATAGTGTGACAGATCGCTCGGAAGATCTTGGCGCTGGACCCTCGATGACTTAAGTAAGATAGTAAGGTTTACGTTAAAGTTAAATAGAAGAAATAAAGTCTTTTTAAAAACAGGTGCTTGTAGAGTAATTATAACACCGCAATGCCTTATGACTTCTTGTTAAAAACTTCTGTCAATTTAAATTTACATGATAAACGACAATTGTTAGTGAACCTTTTTTAAAAGTGATTGCTTAAACTAAAACAATTAAATTAGGCAACAAGTTTTCGCCTTAAAAACTTTTATTCTTTAATTTAATGAACGCATTTCATAATGCCTGGTTTATACAGTAATGAAAAAAACATCAGCGAGAAACCTTAACTTTTCTATTCTTCTTTGAAGCTTATAAAACAAAGCAAATTGTTGATCTGCGTACAGTAGCTGCTGCATGGTCTAGCTTATTCTTGCGATTACTTCAATGTTAATGTTCTATGCTTCGCTTATTGTCTTTGTTTGATTTTTTATCAACAGTTGTGCGTGTGCTTATAGTTCACTTCGTTTGATAATACCATGAAACTTAAAATCTTAGCTTCTCAATATTAAAAAAGAACATCACGACATTTGAACATTAACTTTACAGATTCAAAAAGATAATCACTATGAATGTCCATTTTGGGTTTTAGAACTACTATTCTCTAACTAGAACCGTACAATTTGGAAAATATGCGGTCTTATGATGATCTTTGTCGTATTTTATATTTTTAGACAACAAAGTCGTCGTGAAAACGTTGCAAATGGAGGAAACAGATTATCCATCGAAACAAAACATCCCTCTTTGTCCTTGACATCATTTATTCCACTGACCACCTATTTGTCTCTTCTGCTATCATTTTTGTACATGTAGCCGAGCATGTTAAAACCATGGCATTCTTTTTTCTTTTTCCTATTTCTAACTGGCTTTAGAACTGGATTTAGAAATATTTAGGAAATTTGAGATTGAGAAGATGTGTCGTAATTGTTTATTTGCATGTAAACTGCATGCACTAGTACTTCCATAACATTGAGTAATGTTATAGAACTTGCCTCACATCATCAACATGCATTAATTTTTCTATGGATGTGCTTTTTGCGTTCGGATCTTGCATGTATCATTGAAATTAAATCTAATTTACAATAGATCTGTTCAGTGGCGTAACTAGCGAAAAACATTTGGTCGGGCTCACGAGGCGCCACCATGGTTGTAAGCATGGCTGAAAACCGTAGGTCTTCCAGGTCTTGTAAGCACCCATGTGCGATTTCGCCTTCTCGTGCTTCTTACAATCGGATAGGAAATTCTTCATGTTTTTGAATCCCGTCCGCTTCCATGAAGATGACGATCCAGGGCAAAACAAAAGACAAGCCAACAGAACAATGCATTCTTTTCTGAGCTACCACAAAGCCAATCTTTCTTCGAGTACCAACTTTCCTGAAAGCTTCTATTGCCTGTAGTCGCTTGTAAATTTGGAATTGGCCGCTGCTTTACGAGTATATTTTGCTCGCCTGATTGTCGAACAGAAAATGGTTTCTTTTGTAGTTCACTTATTATATCGATTTTATTAGCCGAAGCCATTGTAATGTAAGTTATCACGATTTCCGAACGTATATTTCGAAAGCTCAAAATTCAAGTCACGCTTTTGAAAATGAGCCCGACTTGATGTTGTTTAACGTTTGAGTTTGCTCGGTTGCTGTCAACCAATCAGATTGCAGATAATCCCACTATAGATTTTACTACTTGGTCGGGCTGAATTTTCAGAGCCCGACTAAACTGCGTAATGCCTGGCACTAGAAATGCACAAGTCATTGTTGCTAAGTAACGTTTCAAAATATGATAATTTTGCTAATAACGACGCAATTTGACAAATATTACACTAATAGACTGTGGATTATTCCAAAAAGAGTCGCAGAATTTAAAATTTTCGCAAATCTAATTTTAAAGAAAACAAATTTTTCATTTTTGGGAAAATATTTGGTCGGGCTGGGCCCGACCAGCCAGACCGCTAACTACGCCACTGGATCTGTTATGTACCGTTGAAAAAGAAATTTACAATACGCTAGCAAAGTATTGCAAATTTTTTTAAATTCAACGTCTAGCTGTTTGAGTTAATGACCGTATCAGTCGAATAAGCTGTCCACGTTAAACATTTATAGTCGCTTTATTGTATCTATAATTGAACCTATAATTGTACCTATGATTGGAACTGTTATAACATTGAGGGATGCTATAGCAGTTTCAACATAGTAGTTAATGTAATTAACTTGCAGTAAATGTAGCAATAAGTGGTAAATGATCAGGCAATTTGGATAACCATGTTTTATTATGGTATAAGTCTTATGGTATCATAAGAAACGTATTGGACCTTAGAAGGAAGGAAAATATTTCAAAAGCTTCTGAGTGCATGTTTATCCATTGACATTGAATGAAAACGATATCGCAGTATCAAATATTTCACATTTCAATGTCTTCTGCAAATCATCGTAAAGTGCAAGTTTCGAATGAAATCAGTTTAAAAGATCTTCTGCAAACACTAGTTCTTCAAAATACATGTGCTTCAACAGTTTTTCCTGATTGTGTGCAAAACAAATATTCTTACAGTTATCAATAACCGGGGGCAACAGTTGCAGATTAAGACAGCGGTATGTGTTCGTCTGTTTCTTTGCTTGTTTTGCCATACCACTAACTTGTTGTTTAGTATTTTTCAGATGCGGAGGATGACAAGATCAAGATGAAGACATAGGTATATGTCTATTTGTTTTTGTTCTGCCCCTGACTTGTTCTTTAGGCTTTTCTTTCAGATACGAAAGACGAGAAGGTCAAGAAAAGGAAGTCAGGGCTGTAACTGTGTTGGTTTTTATCATTCATCAAATCTATCACTTTTTTGTTGCTGTCTCTTATAGAAAGACGTAGCAAGAACAGCATGGTCTAGCATGGTCAACGTAACGCGCTTATTACGGTAAGTTTTAGAACAATTAAAACATTGTTTAAAAAAACAAATCATTTTGTATTCGACTTTTCAGTGTTTGCGGAAGATCAATAAAAATTTGATTAGGAAAAGTGTAGCCTAGAGCGAGTAAGCACACTAACACAAAAACATGGAGATAAATGAATATATCCAATATTCTAGCTAAATTACAGAGTTCCCTCGCTCTCTAATTTAGGAAAGAAGTTCTGGAAAGAAGTTTGATGTATTTTAAAATAGACTTCTGCCATCTATTTTGGAATAATCTTGCACGAACTTTCACGCAGCGTACACTTGTCTCGGCATTTCTTTTGTAATTAAATAAGATCTGACATAGCCATATAACATGAGGTGTTCTTCGAAGTGTCTATGAAGTGCAAATTTTATTTTTAAATTTTAGTTCTATTTAATAGAACTTTTAAAATGATAGTAGATTTTCTAAAAAAAGATATGAATATCTCTTTTCATTCTCAAGGTATTGAAGTTTTTCTAATGTATTTTTCCTAATTACATCATTAGCTCTATTTAACGAAGGGTATTGTGACATGCTTTAACAATTGTAACAATTAAACAAAGAGACATCACCATGCAATACAGGCTTGGTCTGACATATGTGCCATTATGCCATATGGAAATGAAAATGGGTCCTTTATTGTACATATATAATATCAAAAGAAATTCATTAATTCTCGTACTTATGTAATGAGTGATAATTAACGAAAACAGTCAAAGAAGTTTGAACTTGAAGCAGGTCGAAATGGTTAAATGAGCTAATTGATTTAAGCTAAGTTAACAGCATATGTATTGGTTGCATGATATCTGTTGGAACAACCATACTAGAGTTGTATGATGTAACTAGAGCCACTTATTAGCATCATTACCGTGCTGCCTTCAGCATTGACTGCCTTTGGCTTGTTGGGTGCACACTATGTAAATAAATCAATGCTTATGACAACTACGACGATATAAATCCTTCAATTTTTAACACTGCAAAATACAATGAAATATTAAAAATGCATAAGAATGTGAGAAATATATATATTTTAGAGATACTGAAGACTAAATTTCTTAGTTGGAGTTGATTGTTTCAGGGCCGCTATATAAATTGAAATGGAAAGCCCCAAATTGGAGTCAGTCGAGCCTGATGAAATATGTTATGGTCAAGAAACCAACAAAATCAAAGTGAAGCACTTTTCGTGCTGTTTGCAAGTTTCTTGTGTTGGTAAGACTACACGTAAGAGTGAGAACGGATATCAGAGTTATTCTAACTATAAGTTTGGAATAACGACATTATTACTTTGAGTCAAGAAAATATGTTTTGCCACACGTGAGAGCGTTACTTTATTAACACTAAGAATGAAGACGTTTAAAAAGTCGTTATTTCATAAAAGACAACATGAACGACTTTTGAAAAAGTCGTTATTTTCGAAGAAGCTGCAATTTTACAAAAGAAACCTGAATCTGAACTGTTACTACATTATGCATGCTAATTATATTTCCCTTTACTCCGAGGTATAAGCTTAAAATTTAAAAAAACTTGTCCTATTTCAGGCACCACATGTTTTCTGAGAATTAATTTTTTTAAAATTTTCTGGGGGAGCTGGCCCAGACCCCCTAGCGGAGGCTCACGCCTTAGGCGATAGCCTTGACACGGTCAGTCATGACCCAGATCCACTCCCGAGTATATACGTAGTTATATTTAGTTGAATACACTTACCATGTTTTAAAAACACTTTCAAACTGCTTCAAAATGCCTTATATCTGTGAGTCGGTCTTTGGAGTCGATATTATTCCTGTCAAAATTTATTTACATAAAGTAGTCTAATGACAAAAACATGAACAAACTGCTTGCGCCCGCAACTTCCAATGATCAATTTTGATTGGATCGCTCCAGTCTTACCGAGTAGCTCCAAAGTTGTCTGGTGTTCTTTCCAGATGACAATTTCGTCCGAAAAGCTTCATCACACAATATTTTATGAAACCTCGAAGCAACAATGCATCGAAGGAAATGTAATGGCGTTTTCCGATCACAATGAAATGGGCCAAAATGAGAAAATAGAAAAACAAAGACGTACGCCATCTAGGCCAAGAATTGAAGAGTCGGAGTTAAAGGTAAAAATCTGTACATTTTTTATATCGCTCGTATTCTGCTTGAAAGAAAAGTACTTTTACAGGCAATGACAATCTTTTCAACCTCACTCACATAATAATGCTGGAGATTTTAAGTCGAAAATTGTTTGTTCTTTCTTTGACTGAATATTCCTTCGTTGATATTACTTTTGGTAAATTTTTATTTTAAGATTAGTGATTGACTCACTTTGACTGGTTATCGTAAGTTTTGCTTTAATATTTTTATAGGTTATACCCAATCTCTCAACTCAGCCATTTTTGCTGAATTGGAAGACAAGAACATTGGGAAAAGTCGAAAAATATCTTCCACAGGTAAGTTAATGTCTTTCCTAATGATAAAGTTGGTTATACACGCAGCTTTGTAAAATATCATTAATATATATTTTGTAATAAATGACAACATAGCAATGTAAACAGACTGATAACTGAGATAGCAGGGGTTTTCGATTTATAAGAGTTTCTTTTAATTTTTCATTGAATAGATATTCTTTAACCCAATTTTAACACTGGACTGGATCACTTGTGAACAAGAACTTTGTTAATTTTTGAATTTGAACACTGTGAATATTATGCTCAAGTGACAATAATAATACATTGTGCAAGTTAATTTTTTTTTGAATTATATTAATATGTAGTTGTATATTCAATTGCTTCTGAAATTGTTTTGTAATAAGTTACTTGTGACCTTGAGACAAAGTGTGTTAGTGCTACATATTTCAGGAGATTGGGGCACCAACAGTATACGAATTAACAACCTCTTAAACAATATTTACATCATAACAATATTATCACAAATAATCATAGCAATGGTTCAATCAACATATGGTTAACTGTGTAGGAGCACTAATGTGAGTTTGTAAAAACAGATGAGTTTCACATTCTCCATGCCATTATGTATGATAATGTATAAATACTGGTAGTATAATGCAATTGTAGTGTGTACAAATATGAGTAAATTGTATTACCATGAATGAATGTTTATTTAAATGCTCTCCTCATTAATCTACATCAATTTTTTCATTGTATTTTACTCATGATTGTATGGAGGTATTATCATTATAGGTTATTACCACTAGAAGGCTTTTATCATAAGTAATATTGTCATTTATTCTGAAGAAAGAATTGATTTCAAAATATGCACCTATGTTGATTACACAACTACTAAAAAAACTTGCTAAACCATTATATAGACTGTAGACATGTAATAGTGATTCAAATTTTTAAAAAAATGGTAGTACAGTTGTTGACAGAAGAAAATTTTATTATGGACTTCAATCTGTTTTAGAATATTTTGTTAAAGCACTAAATTTTCACATATCACTATGAATGAGTTTCACATAATGTTGTTAAATCAAAGTGAGACAGAGACCTTACAAAATATTTTCTTAAAGTTTTTCTGTCTTATGAATGCTTGTTTTACTAAACAAAATAATTAATAATTGGAAAGTAATATGTAAAACATATACGCATTATCACAGCTTTTCAAAATTACTCAGTTTGCTTTTAATTTTTGGCACGAAGATTGATGCAACATCATCAATAATGACGTATCAGTGCCAAAATAGAAGTATAAGCATTTTTATTGCAGAGTACTAACATTTAATTGGATCATTGAAACTTGAATTATGATATTTTTACAAAATGACTTATGCTACTAGTTTGAGTTTAAACTTAGAATTACAAACAGTTGTATATTTGATTAGCATTACTTTAACTAGATTTTCTCAACTAGTACTAGATTTATGACTTGTTAGTAAGTAATGTCTAAGTGGTATATTGTATATATATATTTAAGTTTTATGAAATGGTTTAAAACATTGGTAATCTACACAATATCCACATTGTAATTTCTGTTATCAGAGCATAGGTAAAATCATATATCAGTGCATTATGTACCTACCAAATGGACTTTTCTATTTTATTTAGAACTTTTATTTCTTTGTGATGTCTTATCATGAAATAAGTTTTTTTGCATGAAGACAGACAGAGCCTCCAGGCTCAGAAAAGGACCCCCCCCCCAAAAAATGTGTTTGTTTTATTTCTAAAGCACACATGTAATAGCCGTGATAATTTTTTTAAAGAATGCATATGGTGATGCAAGTGATCTGGCAATTACAAAAAATCTCTCTCACTTGCATGTTATGGATGGTGAAGTAATTAATGGTGAAAATGATGTTGGTGGACCAGGACCATCATCACAACATGTTGCTTTAAACATGTTGTCCGATGTTCTTGATGAAACAATATTTAATCTTGAAGAAGGCAATCGACCAGAAGCATTCCTTCCTCTTACAATTGACTCCTCCTTGAGGTATGGTTGTACTGTATGCGTATATAATCATATCGAATTTATACAATGGTATATTTAAACCTTTTCACTATTTGTTCAACCTTTGTGTAAATACTACACATTTTGTTTGTGCAAGCTTTGCACAAAATATTACACCATGTTTGTGTAAATATTTGTGTAAATATTTTGCAAATATTTTCACATTGTTTGCTTATTTCAGTCATTGTCATTGTTGTTTATTAGTAAATTCTACACAAATACTTTTTATTTAGAAATGATGAGAATTCAAGTTCTTGGACATCTCCAAGTCCTCAACCATCACCAGATACTAAATATGAATCATCATCCTTTTCTGGCGAGCACATTTGGCAAACCAACGCTGATGTAAATCACAACACCTCAGTGAGTACACCAATTACATCACCTAGTCCTGTATCCATGCATGGCTGGGCTATCCAATCACCAACCACCTCGCGTATTAGCCACAATGGTGTATCCTTTATTGATGGTTATGAAAATCTTTCGTCACCTCAGATGTCATCGTCCGTGGATAGCCTTGGTAATGGTGGATTCTTTTGTTCACAGTACTGTTCAGCACGTGAAGAATGGGTACATTCCAGTGACTCCGAAGGTCTCCGTTGTGGGGAACATGTTGGATCACTTGAGTACCACAGGGAATCGCCGTTCCATCAACCGCTAAATCTTGTATCCTTAAGCGGTTCCTGGCCTCAGAATGGACAGATGGGTAACGAATGCGCTTTCACAGAAATTGCTGCACAATCACCACAGAATGGATATTGTAACTCGTGGAAAGGAGGTGATTTTAATGATTATCAAGTGAGAAATATGGTTTTTCAACGATCCATTTCGTGTAAATCAGATGATGATTCATGGATTGGCCATGGAAAGGAAAGTCTCACTGGTTCGCCCTACCCCAAGAAAAGCACTTGTAATGAGTTGCATTTGAGGATTGATCAATGTTACGAGCAACTAAGATGTCTGGAAAAAGAACGACGAATGGTGAGTACAAATGTACAACAATATTGTTTTGCCGGAAATTGATTTCTAGAACGTCATCTACGTTGTATCGAGGCTGTACAAGTAGCTGTTGTCGATTTGGATGTGATTGATAAAATTTGAAATCCAATCAAAACTAAATTGAACGTGTAGATGTAAGGCCAAAAATTCATTGGTTAATGTTCATTGTACTAAATGTGAAAACCTTGCAAATTTTTCGTGCAGGCGGAAGTAGATATTAGTAAATTCTGGCCAACAAGAAGGGTATCATCATGTGGTCTAAACTCTTCCTCTGGACGGCTACATCATAATCCATCTCGTCTTGATAAACTCTTACTTGACGTACAAAAGGAGCATGCTAAGGTAAACGATTACATGACGTATAGAAGGAAGAAAACGGCTCAAGACGTAGTTATTATAATAGAAGAAGTTAGCTACGTAATAAATGATGTCAACGTATGTTGTTTCGTTGTAAAAATCTCTTTCTTATTATTTAATACGATCATTTTCATTCATAATGTGGATACAACTTACGCTTGCAGTTACGTAGCACCATGTTTTTAACTATTTTTTCCGTGTAAGACAATCACTGGAGTTTTTTCAGTGTGATTTTTTTTGAAGACTAATGCACAATTGCTATGATTCTCTTTTGTTGTTGTTTTAGGTTGAAGCTCTAGTTGGTAGAATTGAACGTATCAGACATTCTCCTTTAAATATAAACATCAGTGAAAGTGTAGATGACATGTTGTCGTGTATACGTCGTCTTCAGTCTTCTCGCAAGGATGAAATCAGCGGATTTAAGGCAAGAAATAAAACTGTAAATGTAAACCGAACAAGTGATTTTACAGGTAATTATTCTAATAATTTACTTGAAAGCTGTCGCCTATACTAATTTACTATCGTTGCAATTTCTCGTGCCACACAACAAACAATATCAGAAAATTCCATCGCTGAATGTTGGTGTTTTTCAATAACTAAATTTAACCAGCGTTTTTTGTGCAATGCTGCTAAACAAATCCATAAACATGTTTAAATTACAAGTCAAAAAATCAGAATTTGTTTGAATTTTTGCAGTATCCTTGGATGTTACAGTTTATTTTATGAAAAATACACGTGTTGACCAAACGATCTAATTACCCCAAAATCGATTCAAATTTGATCCAGTTAGCCGTTTTCTTGACTAAACTGCTGATCGAGTGAAGTGCGCATGCACAGATAGCATCTGTAATAATATTCGACTAAGCAATCTATTACTTCAAAATAAGTTTTAGTTTGATGATTGCCATGACCAGAAACGCGCGTGCTCAGATGATTTTACAATAGTTTGTGACAAAGCAAGCTACTCCGGAGCAGTGTAAGAAGATACAGTTAATTATTAAGAACCCCATTTGTTGGTCGAGTAGACTGTGCAAGCTTTCCGTCATATATTACGTATAGGCTTGTATGTCTTCAGCTTGCTTCAACACATACATTTTCAAACTCGTTACCTTAGCAAACAATTGAGCATCCTCTTACGGACCAAGCATTAGGCGAAATTTATTGCAGCAGCCCAGTGATTCGTTAGATTTTATTCTTGGGAAATTCATAACCTATGGTATTTTTATAAAGATATTTTGAATTTGAAAATTAGCGGCTGTAATTTATTTTTTCTACCCTCCTGCTTTGAACAACGGTGTCGACAAAGTTATCTGACATCGTTTTTAAAGTATTGAAACACGATTTTTACACTTAAGACAAAAAATTACTATTGTAGACATGATAACACTGATCGCCTCTGTACGAGATCTGTCCTTGAAAACACGTGGTTGTCGAACTGCTGTTTGGTGTGCTTCACAGCTGATTTTGAACGAGTTGATGAAATCTGGCCTTCCCACTCCAAGGTCACGTCGTTCAAGTAGCAACAGCGAGAGTGGGGTTGAGTCTTCCCCAAGTCCTTCAAATGCTGGGGTCTCGTAGCCGAAAACTCAGAGGTGATGCCTACGAATAGGCGTGTTATATTATAATGGCAATGTTGTGTACACGTGGCTGTTTACTCTTCCCTGGAGCATCCATTGGTCACATGACGTTTAAATAAACGTTGAGAATAAGGCCTGGGCTAGGATCTTATCCACGTCTTCTTTGGATTAGCTTTCAGCATTCATAACTTGGTTTCTTTCTTGTAGAAACATAAATGGGTTAAATTGTTTTATGTATGTATCGTTTCGAGACATTGTTAGTGCGTAAGTGACTCGATTCTTGTAGAGAATTTTAGAGAATCGTACTTAAGGAGTTCCTTGAACAAGAAATTGGTGAATTATGAAAGACGATGGTAGCATTATTATGGGTCACTGCAAAATTGACTTCACGACGTAATGTGATAAAAAGCGTTTGTACGAAGATGACATTTACATTCATCGTTGTTTGACAATTTTCCACATGTACAAGAAATATCATTGAAAAGAATGTAGAATTGTTTAACGAGTTGTGAAATGAATTCGTCCTTGGCGAACTTTTCATCAAAATACGTGTAGCTCCATTGTTTTATATTTTACTATGCAAGCTTGCTGTGCTTAAAGTTTCATTTACAAAATTACCATAAGATTAGATTGGAAATGATTATTGCATCTGAAGACATTAACTACAACGTCGAATTGAAAGCAAATTGAATAAGACAATTTTGTCGTCGACACTTCATTTATTGCAATATTACCTTTACAAAAATTTCGAACTCAACATTGCCAATCATGAAAATCTAAATGGCAACCTACATACAGGTTTTAGTTTTCTACAAAATAAACAACAGTTATAGTCATATCATCCCTCACGGTCCTTCGAACACGTCTAGGTGCATGCAATAACATTTCCATTTTATCTCTATCGTCTCCACCAAGAGCTTCATGTATCAACTGACTAGCTGCATTCCTCTTAACTACATTACCATGCTCATCATTTCCAAAGGCGGAACCATGATCCAATAAGTCACCCACGTATTGTACGGCCGCATCATTGCTCATCATATCCCATAAGCCATCGCTGGCGATCACCAGAAACTTATCCTCGTTGTTTAAAGTATGATGTGTTACCACTGGCACTGCAGTTAGGTAGGTGGGGTACGGTAGATCTGTTGAGGTATCACAACTCGGCCATAAATGCCGTTTAAGTAATCTTTATGTAACTGTGAATTCCATTGAACATCACGTCGCCGAAGGCTCGAAATGGCTGCAAGTATCCTAGAAGGCGTCCATTTCTTATGATATAATCTTCACCAGGATGTTCTTGTTTCACGCGATCATTTTCGTCCAGATTAAAAGCATTTTGATCCGTGGATAAAGGAGTGGCAATCCATTTTCCGTCGGATGATCTAGAGCCAAGAACAGCTCGACAATCGCCTGAAATTGATCACGGTATTTGAAGAGCAAATACATTATGATGTCAAATAGTGACAACGATACAGAGCGGAATAGAAATATCGACCTAATATCCTGTCACATTACGTACAAGGAAAACTGTACGTCCACATACAGCTTATACAGTGTTTCTATTGGTTACAAAATACAATTAACCAGAGCAATTAACCAATGCAATTAACTGACGCCATTATGTTAATCACGTGCGTAATAAGATAAGCGTCAGAAAATATCCAATAGTGGCCTGTGGACTTGTGGAATTATTATTTGTTCCCTATGATACATTAACTCATGGTTTACTTAATGCCCTATCGATGTAGTACACTATCGTACACGTGAATAGCGTGGCGCCATGTTTAAATGAAACAAAGGAGGTTAAAATGATGATAATGATTTCTAAACCATTGCGTTTAGTTTAATAATTTACAAAATATTAAACATAAAGACGTTGTTTTGAACTACGTAAGAATTCGACAACTTATTGTTGATTTTGATGTAGTGAGGAAGAAAAAATGGGTTTATTGACATGAGAAGTTCAACAGCAATGGTTATACGTAGAAGAAGCAGCGGATTCAAGGTAAATCAGAATCCAGTATAAGAATTATATTTAAAATTCAAAATATTTTATAAAGAATCCCACTGGTAAAATTTTGGCTTTAAAATATTGTTTAGAAGTTTTCAACAAACAAAATCATCGCTACAGTATTTTGTATTTGAAATGAGGAATGATGATGTACGTATTTTGACTTACCCAGGATCTGCCACTGGATAGAAGGTCATTTGATGGAAATTATGAAATGGTTTTCATGTGGGTATTCAAAACATTGATATAGATATGAAAGACACAGGTAAGGAAACAAAGTTTTTATTTGATTAGTTAAAAGATAAACTGAAATCAACAATTATTCCTTCAAAAAAAGGTTAAAATACATTTCACTAAATAAATTCAATAAATCATTCATGTTCTTTAAAATAGAAAGAAACAAATAAATCAAAATAATGCTCAATGGATTGTTTACTTTTTTAATATTCAAACTACAAGGATGCTCCTTACCTGAATTAGCCACATATAAATCACAACCATTGATATAAGCTGTAATAGCACAAGCACCAGCTAAACCCGTCATTGTTTTTTCATGGTCATTACCATTGACCTTGGGCAAGGACTCATAAACTATATCATCATCAAGTAATCTGTAAGCACTTGCTAACTTATCTTTATTGCAACCGATTGTCATTATTCAATAAATCATGTCCATTAGCTCCTAGGATATTTTTCAAATCATTCGATACACATGTTTCATCTAATGAAATGGTAGTAGAAAAAATTTTATCGAGTGTTTTGGAGTGAGGAATGTTTTGATCAATGTCATGAGATTGTAGGGAGACGGCAATATAGTATGGCAATCTTTTCATCACCTCTTCAGCACAATGCCATCCACTATGGCCATCATAAACACTAAAAAGTAAGCCTTCAGAAAGACGATATTCTGAGTTTCTGTCCTCAATAGGTCGTTTGCAGCTAAATTGTTACTTTCATAGTGCGAAACTAAACCAAAATTTACGAGGACTAATTTTTGATTTCGTCGAATCTCGGCGTGAGGAATAGTCTGAGACAGCTTTGGGCGGCCTGATCGCCTTTCTGGAAGCTTGTCGGTCTTAAAATAACTCGGAACAAAATAATCCCAAAAAAACCCACTGTAAGAATTACTGTGTTTACTCCTGCAGTGTATTTTATCCTTGCACGTCAGCCAGACTGAACCAACTGCTGCGACCACTCCAGCCGCTACAGGAAGCTTTCGTGAACATTTTGATAACGTTAACCAATGCATCGTTAGGTGAAATTCAATATGGAACATACGAAACTCTCATAAATATAAGCTTCGACGGCCATTTTGAAATTTTTTCAATTACGTCACCAATATGACAAATGGAATGTATGAATATCTACAAAAAATGGCTGGCTCCAATGTCCTGTGAACTTCCATTGCCTACTTCTTTAATCATGGGCAATGAAAAAAGTAATTGGAATCATGATTCAAGACATATTTTTGAACAATCGAACTCTACCCCGCTACTAAATACTTACAAAACTTGGAAAAGCCAATATGTTTTGTTGAAAACAATTAGCGAACTTTTACTTAAAATAACATGTTTGATCAAAAAGCAGATTTCAAAAGTTTTCCATCAAACAATGTTTTTATAATGCGATCAGCTGAAACACGCTATTAGCTAATTTAGGAAAGGAGGAATTTTAATTTCAATTCATTTTTCATTTTAAAATGCATAGATACATGTTGTTATATAATGGATCGCAGCCTGTATACTAAGTGCTAATTTAGTCGTTTTATTTGAAACTTTCAGACAGTGCAGTGTCAAGCATATGTTTGAATGAACATAGTTTATTAAAAATGTGATCTAAGATGATTTATAGACGACTTTGAAGAATTGCCATTCCTTCAGTGTTTTGAGCCGGTCTTGTCAAACATATCTAAATTTGAATCCTTCAAACTCCTTGGCAAGAGATACTCTGATAGTAAAACAGTAAAAAGAGCTCTCCGGTTGAAGCTTAATGCCCTCGACGTTAGCCCATGTGGAATGAGCGATGACTAACAATCAGCAAATCGAGACTCATTCCTTTACCAAGAACAAAATTTACAAAACCTCGAACGGAGAGATCACGACCAGTTTGAAAGACAAGACGATTGTCATCACGACCGAGGCTGTTGACTTCGCCAGTGTAAACAATACGGATGTGCTTGTGTCCCAATTTGGTAAATTTTCTTAGGTATTTGTCGATAGTGCGAATGGCACTATCACTGTCAGAAAAGTACCGAAAATATCTTCATACAGCAGCGTCTAAAGTAGGTTCTGATAAAGTCTCGGTCTTTTTTCCAAATCTTTCGTGTATATCTTTCAGAAACGGATCCAACAAAAAGAGTCGGTAGACGAGTCGTTTCAGGAGAAACAAGCCCTTCCTCATGGAAAACATGTCGTTTTGTAGTCTTGAAAACCTCCACTGGCTGGAGCTGTTGAAAGCACTCCATTAGTCACTTCAAAAGATAAATATGTTTGTTTCTGCAATGTAGTAACTAATATAAGCGGCCACAAACGTTTGCACCTGTAAGTTACCTACATACATTTATTGTTTTGCATAACTGGTGTTTTGCCACCGGACTCGCTAATTAATAAACAGACGTTCAGAGACAACAGTGAATTTTTCAACTCTCGCATGATCCAACCTAAGTACCGAAAGAAATTATTTAACCTTCGATGATCTCTGTCATACGTGAAACTTTTTCCCCATACGTTGATGACTTTTGTGTTTTTAAACCTTGCAGGGCTTGTCGTTGTTCAAGGGCCTTTAATGCGATTATCTCATTTTGGATACTCGTTCCTGCAACAATTGTCTTTAACATCATTTTTACAGATTTAGATCTTTTTACAAAAACGGTACATTCTACATGCTAATTTGCTTCTTGTGAGTTCATTGATTCATTTTTTTGATGGACCAAGATTTGCCAGCTTACAAATAGTCTGAAGCATTATTTCATCAGCGCCACCTCCTATGGACAAAAGTCGCAAGTCTCGAAATAGACGACTTATCAAAGTCTCAGAGCTGTATCCCATTCCTCCCCAAAATTGCAAACAAGTATCCGTCACTTTCCGTGCTAAACGTCCAGCTTTCAATTTTGCCATGCTTGCAAGGAGATTCACCTCCTCACCACGAGAATATTGATCTGAAAAATGAAACATTTTCATACATTACATTCACAAATGTGTCATAGGATTTCCACTGGAAAGAATTATTGCAACAATCCATCAACTTCATTTTTCAATTAACTTCTTTTGCTCGAACTAAGCAAGGCCACGAATTGCAAAAATATCCATTGTCGCGTTTATTTTCAATCGTGAATATTTGGCTAGATAGATTAAGTTCGAAAGAGACTGTATACATTTACTTCTTACTAGATGAAGTACATTAAAGTCATTATGGAACGAAATTTCATGGTTTCATATTTTCATCTAATTGCATAGTGTAAACCTTGAAAGTGTCTAGTAAAAATTTTAACGGATAAAAACGATTCTTTGGGATAGAAAATCTCATTTAAAAATGACACTGTCACACTAAATTTGTCGGGCATTTTGTGCGCGGCCAAAGGGATTTGTGACGTCAGTGGTTGTGTATCTGGTTGTGTAAATGTATATTCTGTGTAGTATATTCTACTATTTAAATGTAGTGTAGCACGACAACAAAAGCGCTTTAGCGTGCCTAATACAAATGTATTTGTAATAATACTTGCCAGATTTTATCAGGTATAGATTGAAATGTTATTAATCGCAGCAAACGTTGATTTATGGGTAGAAATACTTAAGCAGTCAAAGAGAAATCTAGTTATGATCCTACTTAATAACATTTTAAAACTTTGGTGTTTCTCCCACCTGCCTAAGTTATTTGTTATAATGTTAATACAAACATTATAGACACATTTTTGGAAGCAGATCTTATAGAAACTTTACAACAAACTAGGTCAACATGTGAATTCAAAATACTTGACCTTTGATGATAAAGATAAAAACAGAATGCAGCCCGACTTTTTGCTTCCACTATGAAAATATTTTGTGTTCGCTGACAGTGATAACAATAAATTTCTAAGATAATGAATGATGGTAATCTTTCTGAATTTACATACTAAACTATAGTAAAATCTAGTCTCTAAAATAAATGACAATTTCACATGACATTGGCCTACACAAACAGTACATACCAGTGATTCCAAATTAATGACCAAGAAGTTCCACTTCAGTAGCCAGCTCAGCTAATTTGTATTGAATGTATTGATTGTAATAAACTTTTTCCAAATGCTTCACGGTGTCGGCAATATTCTGCTGTTTCATTGATGGCTCTTTCCATGGTTAACAAAACTAAATGATGATAAAATATTAGCCATGATTAGGACACAACAAACTTGTGTTATCTTATCACCTGAGGCAGCTCCAAAACTCTTTCATCAACAAATTGTAACATCTGGTATTTGAAACCCATTCCTTCTTCACCAATCAAGTTTTTTGAGGCACGACAACATCTTCAAATAGAACTGAGCTGTATCAGAGGAGTTCATTCCATCTTTTTATATTTTTAGCAATGTTTACTCCAGGTATATTCAAAGGTAGTATAATCAAACTTTTTGTTCTCATGAGGAAGACCTTCACTGGTGTTTGCTAAAAGGCACATCCAGTCTGCTTGAAGACCATTTGTTGTCCACATTTTGCCACCATTGATTATATAATCACCTACAAATGACACAATCATAAAAATATATACATATTGTAAACATTTTTAGAACAGCTGATCACAAACAACACAAGGAATTACTTTTTCCAAATAATTATAATAAGTAATATTGAAATCAACAACATTAACATAAGCAATAATACACCTCCTTTCTTCACTGCAGTTGTTTTAACATTGGCAACATCAGAGCCCGCACCAGTCTCACTAACTCCAAGGCAGCCAACATAATCACCAGCAATTGAAGGAACAAGATACTGCTGCTTGAGCTCTTCACTCCAAATCTTGTCAAAGCAGGTGTACACATATCACTTTGAACACCAATTGCCATAGGGATAGCACAACAGTTGATATTTCCTATTATGAAAAATTTTATAGACAACCACAAATAAAATTTGACTAGATGAACAGATTCCTAATTATTACAATACAGAGGCAGTATTACAAGAAACATATGCTAGAAAAATTAAAGCATCTCTTGACTGTCTTAATTTTGGTGCCATACTAATTTATATATTTACTTGACAGCTTATTTTGGACAGTGGCAGATTCAGGATTAGTCAGAATAAATACAATTGAATCTAAAATGCTTTTCCTAGAAGCACTTCTACAATTTATAGTTAGTATGTACCCAGTTCTTCGGCCATGGCAACATTGTAAGTAAAATCAAGTCCCATGCCACCATATTTTGGTTTATTCAGTCCAAGAAACCAGCATTGCCGAGTTTTTGAACACATCGTGAGCAGGAAATTTAAAAGCAGCTTCCCATTCATCAACAAAAGGATTGATGTCCTTTTCAATAATCTTGTTCAAGGAACGTCGTAATTCTACATGTTCATCGGTGAAAATCGCTTCCTTGGTTTATACTTGATGAGCCTCGATGTAAACGTTTTGTCTATTCGGAAGATTTTCACTTTAGATGTTAAATTAGTCAATCGTGGCAAGGAGCAGAACTTCGAATCATTTTACTGTAATATTTTATTTATGTTTTTATCATTGCTGCTTCACATCTTCACTTTTGGACGCGAAACATCTT